ATTATAGGATATAATTTGCATGACTTCATAACATAAAAATTTGTTATTTAATATTGTTTCTTGAAAAAGTTGAAATTTATCTTCTGGGTAGTTAATATAACACTGAATATTCCAATATTCTGGGATGAAAATGTTAAATAACCACAGAGCCCATGAGTTTAGATGCATAGCAAGCATTGGTCTCCTACAAAATGAATACTTGAATTTCAGGGTAAAATATGCTTTGACCAAATAATATAAAAACATCCTTGCATGTTTTATTTAATTATTCCTTATTACTGAGTTCTAATATATGCCTTTGTGTATTATGATATATGTATATACACATAAATATGCATATGCATATTTAGAAATATATGAAAATTTCAATACAAATGTATTGTTCCTCTCTTTTACTACCTACAATTTTGTTTTCTGTGGGTATAATTTTTCCTGGACAGCTGATGCTCAAGTATATTGGTTAGAAATTTCAATAAACAGGTATCAATTGTAAATTCACACTATCCTTACTATCATTGTGAATTTTCATACAGCCCTGTTCTATCCAGCATCCATTTTGTATATATGAACTTGCAATAGTCACTTATTATCTATTATAGTTATTACATTCTGTCCCATGATACTGTAAGACTTTTGCACAAGTGACTATTTACTAGTGACATGCTGCACAGGAATAGTGGCACTGTCAAATAAATTGTGACACAGAAGAGCTACAAGAAACTTCTTTTATCAGAAAAGGTGACAGTTTTAAACTATGTTAGGAAAAGAACTGTGAGCTGCAATGTCTAAGAACTGTACTAAATTGTTAATTTTCTACTTTGGTTAGTTTATTAATTGTTGTCACTGCGTGTGTGTGTGTGTGTGTGTGTGTGGTATATGTATGGGATTTAGTGCTGCCTCTACTATGGAGAGCTTCTTTGAGGATCTTGCAGTACATCCCATATGGATAAGGGGGATAAGAGAACAAGTGTTTTCTTTCAGTCATTGAAACAGACTACTCTACTTCCTTCTGGACCCCATGGTTTGTGATGTGAAGCTGCATAGGATTTGTATTCTTCTTCTTTTCTGTTTCAAAAACTCACCTTCCCTGGGGAAAGCTGTGGGGATTGGGCTGGGGGTAGAGGGTGGGGGTGCAGCTGGGAGGGAGAAGGTGGGGAGCTGGTATTGACATTTGAAGCATGCATGTTTCTAATTTAAATAAAAAAGGAAAAAAATAAAAAAGGAGACCTTTTTGTTATTCTTTTCAAACTTTTCAAAGAATCCCTCACAGATAAGAGGAAACTACTGCATAAAGATTTTTGGATTTCTTCTGAATAATTCTATATGTAGACATAAAAGATCTCTGTGAACAAAGCCAGTGTCTCTCCATTTGCGATGGCTTCTCTAGAGGAGGGGAAATGTTCCTGCTTAGTATCCAGAATCTGACTGTGATATTGTATATCCTACTAGCAAGAGACTGACTAACAAGAGACACCAGAAGTACATACACCTAAAAGCATTTAGAGATTGGTGACAAGAAGGAGCAAACAAAAGAAGATAAGGGATGTTCGAGTTTCTTGGAGCACCGGGTTCTAGGAAGATAAATAGCTAGAGTAACCAATTCAAGGGAAATACCAGTTTCAGAAGAGTTAGTGGTCCTTAAAATGTCAGAACATGTACAAAATGATCCAGTTAGACACAAGGTTTTGATGTATGTCACTCCAAGCCTAACATAATATTTCCTCGTACACCTTTTTGTGAAAATATTTATAAAAAAATTACATACTGCAATTTAGGATGACCCAGAGTATCGTCTATAGTCCATGTTAGTGTTAGACATTAAAACTTCTCATCCCACTTCCAGAGAATCTGGGAAACAGAATCTTCAACCAGAAGATCTCAGAAGCAGAGGCAGACACCCACAGCTAAAACCTGAACTGAACTTCTGGAATCCAGTGACAAAAAGGGAGAAATGATGAACAAAGGAGTTAAGACTGGGCTGGTTTAACCCACAGAAACAGTTAACCTGAACAAGGGGGAGTTCTTGGACCCCAGAATGATGGCTGTGTCGAAAGCATGGGGATGGCCCAGACCCCCTGAATGTGGGTGTCAGTTAGGAGGCCTAGGTTATCTATGGAGCCTTGAGTAGTATCTATCCCTGGCGTACAAATAGACTTTGAATGCCCATCTCACAATGATGTATGCTCTCTAAGCCTGAACTCTTTGGGGAGAGCCTAGACCCTACCCTGGATGAAATGACAAACTCTGGATATCCACCATCGAGGGCCTCACCCTCCCTAGGGATCAGAGTAAAGATTGGGTGGGGGACTAAGAGGCCTGGTGGGGAGAGTGGGGAAGGAGGGGAATCAGAGGGAGCTGGGATTGATATGTGAAACAAGCTTGTTTCTAACTCAAATAAAAAACAATAAACAAAACAAAACCTTCTTCTCTCAGGCTCCTGAGAGCTGGGATTATAGTTGTATCACATCCCCCAGATAACATAATATTTTAGAATTGATAACTTTCTGAAGTATGGTTCCTTGTATTGAAGACAGTTATTTGAATTTGTATATACAAAAGTAAACCAAGACAGGAGACTTCCACCTACAAATCCATTTCTTATTCCATCCCAGGAATAAGTCTGCTCAGCACTGGATGTGTGCTATCTGACATATGGTACAAACCTCTTTTTCTTTTATCTTCTATTTCTTTCTTTCAGTCCTGGGAATTGAACTTATGGCATTATACATGCTAGGCAATAACTCTGTCACTGAGCTAGCTGTATGCCCAACCCTTATTTTTAAATTTTTCCTTCTTTGCTACCTCAACAGTTGATTATCTACAGTAAACTTTTTCTTAGTGTTTTGAGACAGAGTGTCTCTATGTAGCTTTGGAGCCTGTACTGGCACTTTCTGTGTAGACTAGGCTGGCTTTGGACTCACAGAGATCTTCCTACCTCTGCCTTTCAAGTGTTGGGATGAAAGCTGTGAGCCACCACCACCTGATTAGTACTGTAAACTTAAAGGGTTTATTTTTCAGAAATCCCCATTTCAAAGAAGTAATGGCAATCACTTGTCCAACCTTGAACATATTAGTTTTAAGCTGTATGGCTTAACGTATCATCTTTGTTCTCTCAAAAGAGTTGGAGTATTTGCTGATTCTGAGTTATCAATAATTCATAATTTATTGTGTCAATATCTTAATATACTACAATAGAAAAATGGCACATTTCATCAATGAGATATTGAAATATATTCACATTGTACTTTGACCCATATCTCAATTAGTCATTCAAAAATATTGAGAAATTATTAAAATTATGGGGAATCTTGAAAGGGCATTAGGTGCTTTTAACAAAACCGCAGTCCAAATGGGAAGACAGTCATAATGCACACCAGGCCACAGGTAAAGCAAATGCAATTTACCAAGTAAAATCTAAAGATAGTTATTTTTAAAATCTTGACACAACAGATGCATCTAGAGTGTTGTTTCATTTAAAGTAAGCTGTTCCACTTTATACTGCTGCTCAGCGTTATGGGAAAGATGTGGAAGCTGGTTTAGTATGTGGAGGATTTTCTCTTCAACTGTGCAATGTCATGAGCATTACAGCTCACAGCTGTCAACCTTGCTTGGGTGGGGCCCTCAGGATTCTGCTTAGGAGACTTAATGGTGACATGGTCTACTTTCTATATTCTGCCTACCACTGTGTGATGTGACTGTGGGCCTGCAGGAAATGTTCCTCTGCTCATTTGAATCTGGGAATAATTTTTTTCTACAACTGTTTTATCACAGAGAGGAGTCTTCTCATCAAAATTCAGATTTGACGTATAGTAGATGACCTGACTATGCAAAACAGGACAACACTATACGATTTCATTGTTATATCTATTGTTAAAATAGCCTTGAAGGTTCAATAAAATAATATATTGACAGTTTTTTTGAACCAGTTATATCCGGATAAACTTCCTTTTCAATTTTTTGTACGTCTAGGTTTGGAATAACTTACTTTTAAAATGGAGTTGCTGGAAAGAATCCTGTGTTTTCATTGTTCAAGAACCATCAGTAGAGATGCAAGAACTCTCTCTTCGCAAAATAGACTCTTAAGTATCAACTAACTCCTGTTTATGGGTACCTGCCAGCCACCCTAATTCCACTCAACAGAATGAAAAATATTTCAAGTGACCAGAAACAAAGAAGTTTATTTCCTTCGCACATTCTGAATAAAAACTGTTATTTTCTACAGTATATATGACAGAAATATCATGGTCTGAGGAACTTTGAAAAGAGAAAGAAGATGATTTCAAATACTACAGTAGGGTCCAATTGCTCTTGAAGGGAATGGGAGATTAAAACTTGGCCAAACAGTTTAAGACAGGCATTTGGGAGATTCTTGTCCTTGGTCATAAATATCGCTGGATCTATCAGGGGCCTAGAAATTTCAGTAGATTTTGGTGATTCTGGTTTCTAGTCTGGTGTCTTTCAATAGTTTCTCTGCTTCCCATAGCTGCCTGGAAGCTCTACATGGGAATACGACTGAAACCCATTCTGAAGACACCAATCGCTTTTGGTGAACTGGTTTGGAATGAGAGATCAGCATTTTCACAGTGGAAATTTATTATGTCTACTATAATCTTCACAGTGGTGAAATTAGTATATGGATCCTGCATACTCAGTTGCTGTATTAATCATTTCACCTCTCATTTATTGTAAATGTACACTTGGATGTTGTTGTGGCAAATTAACTCCATCTATCTGGGATATTATCATCATTGCCTTATAAAAACTGAAATTCAGGAATGGGGAGACCCTAAAACCTTCTTCCCCAAATTTCAGACCATATCCTAAAATACTTCAGGATCTCAACTTCCAAGGAGGGAATATTTTGGTGATTAATAAGCCTGGGGTCCATTCGGGAATAGGTAATTTCTTCGTGGAATTGGTCCTACCTCCAGTTTCCCTCCTGACACTAGAAAGGGAAACATTATAACAGTCCCACCTTAGGGTATATAACACCATATAAAATGGTCTGGGAAAGGCTCCTATGTGATTGAATCTGCCTAAGGTAGGTGCATCCGCATATCTGACAGTTTAACCTTGACCTAAAGTAAATTCCCATAGGATAATTTCCTAGGCTTAGAATTTGCAGTTACAGGTGTGAAGATTCTAACAGCAATTGGATGTTTGTTGATGATGCATATATTGAAAATAATAATAAAATCACATATGTACATGTGTCTGCATATGCTTGTGCATGTGTACAGTGTGTGTGTGTGTGTGTGTGTGTGAAGATATTAGGACTTCATTGAGAATTATTGGGGAAAGTTACTTCTTCCTGCTCAAAATAAGAAAATCATAATGTATCTTTGCTCTTAGGGGAGAATAAGATATTCTGATCCACTACAGAGACATTGCATACTGTCACTTTCTTTAAGAGTTAACCCAAGTAGGTCACCATCAATAGATAACCCTATATGAAAACGGATTTTTCCTGAAGATATGTTAGAAACAAGGGAGGAATAATTATCCCATTAATGAGACAATGTACTTTCATTTCTAAGAAGCTCTTCTACTATGCAGCTACTTGAACAATTCAGCACTTATAAATCTGACTACTTATATTTTCTCTTGTTTGTTTTTTCCTCTTGAATGTGGTGCTAGACATACTTACTTGTCAAACTTATTAACCATATATAGAATACATATGTTTTATTGACTGTAACATCCTTTATAAAATATAATTTTGTAAAGTTGGCCACCTATAACCAAAAGTAATATTCAATAGCAAATAAGTATTTTCCCTGCTTTGAGGGAACAATAGTACATGGTGAATATTAAAATCAAAGTCTTGTTAAGTTTTAATGCCAGAAAAATAAAGAATTTAGTTTTAAGGGCTACTTTTTAAAATTTTTTCTAAGTTCTGATTTTATATGTATTTAGGTGCTCATATCAAGAAGCAAATATCTCATTGCTGTTAACCCCAAATGCTATAATTTGTTTTCTGAAAACAAATCTAATTTCTTAAACACTATAATACTGTTTCAGATTCATATATTATTTTTGAAATATTGTTATGCAAACTACTTCCTGTTATTCTTGCATACCTCTTAATTCCCACCTCTCAGCTGGAAGCTTAAATTTGTACCTTACTTTTCATCACTGAAGTTTCCATGCACTCATTAAATGAAGATTTTTAGCATGAATAAACAAGCTTATATAATAAGCTCTAACATTCTGTAATACATATTTTTGTATGACTTAATATATTTTCATGATACTTGTGTATTCATTTTGATCTTTGGTTAATTTAAAGCAGTCCAAACATTACTACATGAGACTATGTCCAGATCCAGATTCATATGATTGACTTAAATTTTTGCCACATTTCAGATAAGTGCTCATCCCTAAACAAGACTATTACACTGTTTCATCTAAGGTTCAGGGCACATTGTAGAAAGACAATAGGAGAAAGGCTATGAAATGCTATATTCTGGCTAAAGCAGGGCCATTGCAACCATGAACCCACCAAGGCTATGAGGCCTGCTGTGAGTCTTCACAAGAATTAGCCTATCTACAGTCAGGCACAGATTGAGGAAGGGCTTGTAGGTGCCTACAGAACATTGATGAACTATTGGATGTTGATAGATTTAGGAAGGGGAGAGGCATTGTATTCTGTTGTGTGGTTCTTACAGAGAGTTCCAATCCAGTGTTTACATAGATGGGTCCCAAAATAAAACTGAAAGTCATGAATCTGGGAAAGGGAGTGGTGGCAATGATGGAGACTGGAGTTGGCAGATATGAAGGGATGTAAGAGTCAGTATAGGGAAAGTGTTACTAGAATGTATTGTACGTATCTGTAGGAAATTGTCAGAAAACAAAATTAACTGAAAAATATTAACAATAAAAGAAATCACTTGTCTATTACAAATGTATTACAAAGGTATCCTGGGTGTCTCCATTTTAAAGCTTATAATCCACAGGGATTTTATACCCAGCATTTAAAACTTTCATACTATATCCACATCACAAAGCACATATCATAATTGGGTGAGACTTAATAAATACACAAATATGTATTTAAAATTCTCTAACTTAAATTTTTCCATCTTCTTAAAAGCTGTAACTTCTTTGGTCAGTATACTTCTTCCTACTTGACAGATGTACCCACATCCTTATTTATTCCATCACAGATGTGTTTTTCCCATCCCAGGACTTTACATAAATAGAATCAAACTGTTCTGCCTGTCTGACCTCATTGACTTACCAACACATTTTTCAGCTATATGCACATGAGTGAACTGTTCCTTTATATAGATACATCCCAATCAGAGTAGAACTATACTACATTTGCTTATCCATTGTCCTATTCATTATTGTATGTCTTGCTTCTAAATTGATGCTACTCTAAATAAACATTTATGTCATTTTTTGTGCCTATACAGTTTGTTTCTTTGGGGGAGTGTGGCCAACTGTTTTTGGGAATTAGCTAATCCTACTTCAAAGGAGAGTTTACATTTTACTTTTAACAGTAATTCACTAGAGCTCTGATAGAGGCAACTATTTTAAAACTGTTAACTAAAAAGGGACTTTGTGTCAGCATCGAATAAGAACCATGGGTGTAAAGAAACCATTTGGTCACTGTCATCATGGTTTGATAAGCTGTAAAAATTAAAATAAGAATGTGCTACTTTTAGCTGCAATGGGGTCATGCTGTAGAGCAAGAATAAAATGTCAAGCAGCAAAGTCAAATTTGAGCTGCTAATTGTGAGGCAGAAACAGAAGCACATGGCTAGAGAGCTGCCCTGGCCGATTTTACAACTGTCACATACTCTTCAGTATCAGATTTATTTTCAAGTATATCAGCATTGAATTGGATTAAACAGAAGTACTGAACTCGCTGTGCATTTCATCTCACAAGCCTGCATCAGCCCTCATTCCTCACCCACTTAATGCTGACGAACATTGTGTAGCCAGAAATAAATGCCTGCTCTCAATTTTGTCCCAAATCTTTAGTGTCTCTGCCAGTGCTGACATTTCTGTAGTTTCTCACATCTCCCTAAGTAGGATTTAGGGTCAGACAGAGCTCAAATTATAGTTATATCCCTTAGTAGCCATTAGAACTTGGGCAAATTGTTTACTAGAAGGTAGTGAGAAATGGGTCTGTAAATACCCCATGAAAACAAAGGAAGTACTCAGTATTTTAATAGTGAGGCCAGAAACTTGCAGCTATCATCTATTACAGTATCAGAAGCCTTGTTCCTGAACTCTACACCATGGAAAAATAGTAGCCTTGCATGTTTTTCCAAATGCATGCTGCTCTCCTCTCTCTCTCTCTCTCTCTCTCTCTCTCTCTCTCTCTCTCTCTCTCTCTCTCTCTCTCTCTCTCTCTCTCTCTCTCTTGCATCTTTATGACTGACCTCTGTGGACCTCTCTGCCCATTCATGTTAGGAATATAAATCCTCATGAACATGCCTGAGTCTGATGCCATGAAATTCATCTTTCCTGATATCTCCAAAATTCCTCCCTATCAAAGCAATAGATAAATAAAATATCCTGCCTGGTCTAGTGATCCTTTAAAACTATTTGTTGTTGTTTTTATTTCATACCACAAGAAGATTTGACATTATTTGGAAATAAACAATAATGGAAATAAAGATTGGAATGATTGATCATGTCTCTTTTCTTGAGAGCTGGAAAGAGCACCCCACTGTTCCTACTGTCTTCTTTACCTCCAGCCTAACAGCTAATTCTTGTGATGCTCTTCCATGTGCCAGGCTCAGCACCAATAGCTTATGTGCAGAGTGCTGTGTAATCCTAACCATGAATCTCCCAAGGAACCCAAAATATAGCAAATAATTCACTTTTAGCATTTGCATTCCATGCCTAATACTCATTGTCTCTCAACCATAACAGGCCCTGGGAAACTACCTATGATGTGGCTAAATCAGATACACTTAAAAAATGGGCACTGGGAAACTGCCTATGATTTGACTAAATCAGATACACATTTTAAAAAACTCACTCAGGTTAGCACCTTCCTCCAAATATTCCTGGCAATATAGTAAACTGATTTCTTTTTATACGTGTTATTATTTGTGCATTTGTGTGCATGTTCACATGCATGCATGTGCAGATGTATGTATGTGGGCACACATAGGTCAAAGAGGTCAGAGGAAAACTTGCAGGAGTCAGTTCTCTCCCTCTATCATGTGGGGTATGGGAATTAAACTAAGGTTGTAAAGGCCTGGGGGCGAACTCTTTTCTCTCTGAGTCATCTTGCCAATCCAAGTATAAGAATTTCTAGAAGCCTGTTATTGAGAGTGGTTATTGTAGGAAAACATCAGGAGGAGAAGAAGGTAATTTAACCTGGAGTCCTGATCAATACGAGGTACTCTGTTAGCATCTGATTCCTACTCTTTTGTGGGTCCTCTCTCACTCCCTCATTTGCCCTGAGTCTCTACATGCGATTCAGGGTAAATGCTCAGAAACTGGATTATGATGGGGTGAATGACTGAAACGGTGTAAGAGCTCTCTAAATGCTTATCTGCTGTATAACATCCAGCATGCCTATCATCCACTACAAGGTGCACCTGTCTCTGGCATTGAACTCTTGTAGTTCATCTGAGAAAACAAAGCTATTTTTCTAGCACTGAAGAGATAAACTTCTGTCACAAAAACAAAACCCAGAAGAAAATGAAGCTTTCTCTGTGTCCTTGAAACTCTCTCTGATTTAATCAAAAGATGTGTTGTCTATATAAGAACTTGTGATTGAAGTGTGGTTTATTAGGTATATTGTAACTTTTGACACTGAATGCTATATTTAATCATTTTCTTTGAACTTGGTAATACAGCAAAGTAAGTCCACTTCAGTGGATAGTGTAATAGGTTTTGACAAATGCAACATCATCAATCAAGACACAAAGCACTTCTCATACCTGAAGATGGTCTTTGATTTCTCTCTCTGGCCTTTTCCTCCCGATTTTTTTACCCCAAGGCTACCATAGTTTTGCTTTTTGATGCTATAAATCAATATTGCCTCTTTGACAACTTCACATGAGTGAAATCAAACAATATCTATTCTTTTGTACAGGTCTTACTGAGATGTCCATGTCTTTGAGATTCATTCATTCAATTACATGTTGTTTTTCCCTCCCAGAGGATATCTGAGTTACTTGCAGGCATCAAGAACTTAAAAGACCAGTTAA